CTCGCCTCACAGGTACAGATTGACCTGCTGGTGGCACCATACCCCCCGATTTCTTCTAACTTTAAACTGTATCACGAAGTTCTAGTAATTAAAAGAGTAAGGTACTTCAACAAATTGGCACACAGATCAGAGGAACAGAATAGAAAACCCAGAAATAAATTCACACTTATTCAAAAATCTATACTATTACAAAAAATCTTAATCATTCAATGGAGAAAGAAAAGTATCTTCAACAAATAGTGAATTGGAAACTGACCACCAAGAAAAAAAGAAACAATGATCCAGATCACTAAGAACATACACAAAAATAACTCAAATAAAAGACTCAGACAAAAAGTTATGAAATACATCAGGATAAACTATAGGAGATACACTCTAAAATATCTGTATCAGAGATCTAATGGAGATTCAGGTCTACTAGTAGGCAGAAATTAGCAAGAGAAACAAATATAAGAATGTAAAATTAAAAAGCTTCAGTGCAGCAAAAGGAACTACGACCAAAAATGGCAACGTTACATATCACATGCTTGATACACAAAAATATGTAATTCACACATTTTAATGACAAAAATGCAAGAAGCAAATGAAAAGGTAGGCAAAATACCTGAATAAACATTTCTCAAGCAAAAACATACATATGGGCCAAGATACATGAAGAGGGCTCATCATCACTGATTAGGCAAATGTTATTCAAAACCACGATTACATATAGCCTCACAAGGATAAAAATGACCTATATCTTCAAAACCCTGAAAATAATAAATTCTGGTGAGATCATGAACAAAAATTACAAAGAGTGCACTCTTTGAAATGTAAATTGTGCAGCTCCCAAAGGAAAGAATATAGAAATCCCTTTAAAATGAAATTATAAATACCTTTTGATCCAGCTATAAAATTCCTTGGCCTTAATCCAAAGGACATGTAAAAAAGTAATTCTCAAAGATATGTAGACTGTTGTGCTTTATACCAGCATTATTCATAACAGCCCAAACATGGAATCACACATCGGCCGACAGCTAAAGAAACCTTCATGTAGATACTCAGTGGAATATTATTAAGCCATCAAAAATGCTGGTGAGATATCATTGGAGACAAAATGGATGGAATTTCAGGTGAACGACAGGTGTAGGCCCAGCAAAGTGGATGCTATATATTTGTCATAAACCCTCTACACAGTGTCAACTGCCATTCTTGCAGAGAGGACTGTGCAGCACATATTTTAGACCATTGCACTTTAGTATCATGCTGTTTTTCTTTCTTAGATAAGCTCCTATCTAGCTCTCAACACCCCCCTAAAATTTGACTCTTGAAATTCAATAGTGCAACCAAATTGGTCTTCTGTTCTAGTTTCTTGACAATGTCATGCTCACCAGTTCTGTCTCCTGCATACAGGACAAAGTCTCACAAATCCACCACAAGTTCCCTAGAAACATTTTTGTTTTGTTTCTGTCAACATATACTTTAGATTCTAAATACCATTTTCCTGTAGAATCTCTCAAACCCATTCAGTTTTCAGTCTGATGCACTTACTCTCACAAAACCTCCTTAAAAATGTTGAGATATCCACTCCAAAATATTTGCTCAATTTTGTAAATATCTGTCTAAATACCCCTTTCCTAGACTGCAAGTATTGAGAGCAGTTACATTTCCTACTATGGTTGCCATAAATGATAAGAAATCAATGTTTGATTCCAAAGACAAAAACGTGAGAAAAATCTAATTTTTTGCTTTGAAAACCCAATCCAGGTAGCTGGCTTTCAAATGTTTCAAGCCCAACCCAGGATGGTTGCGACAAATTCTCATTTTGTCCACTACTCCAACGGTGACCTTTTCCAATTCCTGAGGAAACGGATGGAAATAACAAAGACTTACTTACAAAAAATGAAAACTGACTGCCCAATTCTTAGAACGAGATATAGTACTATCCTCCAGGGCTGAAGATACCAGAGAATTAACCCTCTTAGCGATACAGCTTTTTCTCAATAAAATTAGTTAACTGACCTTACTGCTGACACATCACACTCTCTGTATACTGACATTCTAGAAATCTCTAAAGGATAAGATTTTGACCTGTGGTGCCATTGCTGAGGGACAAACTAAACCTCGGAGAGAAAAAATCAACTGAATTTAGAAAAATGGAACCTTTGACATTATCCTTCACAAAGCCATGGTATCTTTGGGATATTCCTCAGCAGATGTTTGGACCTAACACTGTCCTTCAACACTTTTAAAATCAGATTTTTGAAAGTCTATTAAAGTTAGAGAAATTCTAACAAGCAAACTAAGCTATTGTAGCAGGAGATAGTTCAGGGGTTAAGGCACTTGCCTGTATGCAGCCAACCCTGTTTCAATCCCTGCCTGGCACCACATATGCCCCCTACAACCACGGCCAGGGAATATCCTGAGCACAAAAACAGGAATGGCCCTTGAGTAACACTGATTATGGCCAAAACCACTCGAATTTTGTCCCCCATTAAACTGATGATGAAAAAACTGTAATTCATGAAGAACCTAAAGGCTGGCAGAGGGAGCAGACTCTGAAATGGCAAAGCTTAATGAAAGTCAAGTGTACCAGAGCAATTCTAATTAATGAATAAATGGTCCAGAATTCAAGCATGCATTTTTCTTGGAATGGGGAATGGGAAAAAAGAAAGACAATGGCAGGTGCTTTTACTGACACTTAATCCCTTAGAGACTATAAAACCCAGATCCTGGAAGAGAAGAGTGCAGTCTTCTGCCCCCGAGCCTGACTGTCCTCGCTCGCTGGGACCCCTTGGAGGGGAGCGAGTTGAGCTTTCCTCTCCGCCCCGACCAGGGCTCCGGCAGCCAAAGACTTCCAGGGCATCTTATTATAACATCTTATTATCTCATTCCTACTTTGGACAAACTGGCAGGTTGCCGAATGTAGCCTGCCCACAGGGCAGAGTCTGGCAAACTCCCCTTGGCGTACCCAATATGCCAAATACCAATAACAATGATGGGTGTCATTCTCCTAAAGAGTCTTGAATATAATCTCAGGGCTAGGATGAAGGAGACGTTACTGGGGCCTGCTCGAGGCAATCGACGAATAACAGGATGATTTGTGATTTGTGTGAATCCCTTAGAACTGTGCCCTTTAGACAGGAGTCTCAGGTGTCTGAAAGTCTGTGGCCGCTAGGGCAGTGTTGAGGAAAATGCAATTTTCCAAAAGGGAAAACAGGGCAGGAGAGATATTGTAGGGGATAGAGCACTTGCCTTGCATATGGTCAGCCCCGGTTATATTCCTAGTACTACATATGGTTCCTTGAGCATTGCCAGGAGGGATCTCTGGGCACAGATCCATTATTAAACCCTGAGCACTGCTAGGTGTGAACAAAAAGTAAAGGTAAGGGTAGGGTAATGGAACACAAAGGGGGTTGAGGAATGAATGGACAACAGCAATGAAGTGGGGGAGGCAATCATGGACAAATGCAGATCGGGGGAGGGGATCCTCTTAATTTGGGATAGCCAATGAGTGCATAATGGAGGCATCTAAGTCAAAGACATAGAGCCAGAAAACAAGGTTGAAAAATCAAATAGAATGTAAAATAAGAAAGCATAGACTCACCACTCTTAGTGGATGGACCCTAATATTTAATTCGAACACTGCCTATGAATTCTCTGGATTATGGCATGGTGGCCCAGTCCCAGGGGTGTTTGTAGAATATATACAATCTCTAGTTGTTATTTTAACGACTAAAATTCTGATTTAGAGAAGTCAGTGCATGAATCTCTCCACTAATTGCTCTAAGAAGCTAAACATATCTTTTCTGAAAACTTCTAAAACTGAGTACTGCTTGAAAATAGTGGCAATTCTGTTCCTTAAAACAAGCCATGGTCCTTCAGTGGAGTATTTTAGGTCTTCAGCATGTGTACATACAATCTATTTTATGACCTACAAGATAGTGCATTACATCAGCAATTATAACAACAACATGTAGCAGTAGTTCCATCAACTACCAAACTAGAGCAGTCTGAGAGTTTTCTCTGTGTTGTTGCATGATGGAGGGTGATAGCATATTTGAAAATGATGGTCTAAACAAGTAATCTCAGGAAATGACATTTCCCTGGGATTAAAAAAAAGACACAATTCACACACAAGAAAAGAGAAGAAAACAGAGATAAGGGTTTAAGAATCTGTGTTAGAGGTGAAAGAAACTACATTTCAAACAATCCCAGACTGATAAAGCCATTGAAACCCACACTGAACGGATCCTTAGATGTCTCAGGCACACTACTGACCGCTAAAAATTACCAAGGAAAGGCAGACACCTAGTGTCACAATAATCTATCAAACATAATTCATAGTTCTGTAGGTTTATGGATTCATGTGATGCATCACATTCAAAACAATAACCTGTTATGTTTTCCCTTGAAGAATGTTTTGATATAGGCTTGTTTTGAAATTTTTTATAGCAGAAGCTTATTAATAACTACTATAAAGGAAAGACTAAACTGTTGCTTGAGATTAGATGCTGATGACTATTTCCAAGGACATTATGTACTCTAAAGCCAAATGAGGACTTGAAAGGCAAAGTATCTGCCCCAGCAAAACTTCCGTGACCTCACCGCTCTCTTCTGCCTGGCCACAGAAGTCTTTGCAGGAAGAAATGTATTGATGGCATTATCTTTTTCACCATTTAATTGAGGATATTTTATATGTATTTTAACTCTATCTTCCTTTAGATTTAGGATTGAAGAGGGCATAAATTAATATTTGTCTAGCCAGTTTTTAATACACATGATTTAACTAGAAAGAAAATAGAGATGCACTTATGTAATTCCCCCATGGGCCAGGAAGCTAACCGGTGTGAGCAAATAATGCATAGTTAATGAAAGGGAATTATGCACAAATGACAAATAATTTGAATGAACCAAGTGGATGGCAATCTAAATATCTGCAACATAAAAATAGCATGCTACGTTTTCTAAATACCTTCAAATTGCTAGGAATTTGAAGTACATGAAATTCAGAATCTGACCTTAAGTTGTTCCTCCAGAGCAGCCGTTGCGTGATCTCCACTAGCTTCATCAACTACCACCACCATATGAGTGAGGGAATTGACCCGGACTTGTTCCTGCTCTAGATCTTCTTGAAGCACCTGAAAGATAATTTTTATCAGATAAAATGAAGCTACTCAGAAAATTCAACAAGAAAAACAGGTATTTCAATGGGGAGAAATCCAGGAAGAGAGAACAGGGGTTAAGATGCTTGCTTTGCAGGAGGCCAAGTCTGGTATGATTCCTGGTACCACATATGCCCCCTCACAAGCACCATCAGGTGTGATCCCTGAGCACAGAGTCAGGCATAAGCCCTGAGCACAGCCAGGTTTGTGGGTCCCCCTCTAAAAGAATAGCTAAACAGAAACTTCTAAAAGAAGACATGTTGAAGGTCCACTGGCACATGAAAAATTCCTCATCATCTCTAATTATTAGGAAAGCGCGAATCAAAATGACAGCAAGTGATCACCTTACACCAGTGAGAATGGACTAGAATCTAAAGGCCAGAAACAATCAGTGGTGGCAGAGATGACATGGACAAAGGGACTCTCTATCATGGAGGCAATGTGGACTACTTGAGCCTCAACAGAGCGTGTAGCACTGTCCTCCTATTGTTCATCAATTTGCTTGAGCAGGCCCAGTAACGTCTCCATCATGAGACTTGATGTTACTGTGTTTGGCATATTGAATATGTCACAGGTAGCTTGCCAGGTTTTGCCATGTGGGCAAGATACTCTCGGTAGCTTGCCAGGCTCTCTGAGAGGGGCGGAGGAATTGAACCTGGCTTGGCTGGGCCTGCTGCATGCAAGGTAAATGCCCTACCACTGTGCTATTGCTCCAGCCCAACAGAGATAACACAGAGAAAATTAAAAATAAAATGACCATATGATTTAGCAATTGCACTACTTGGATTCAAAGCACAGAGCACAGAAATACTCATTCAAAAAGACATATGTAGAGCCTGGGCAATAATATAGTGGGGGTAGTGCACCTGCCTTGCACGTGGCTGACCAGGATTCAATCAATCCCTGGCACCCCATATGGTGCCCTGAGCACCATGAGGAGTGATTCTTGAGCACAGATGCAGAAGTAAGCCCTGACACTGCCAGCTGTGCGACACCCCCCCCCACACACACAAAAAGGATCTTTGCACACATACTCATATTCATCGAAGCATGCTTTAGTATACCCAAGATCTGCAAGCAACCTAAGTGCCCACGGAGAGACAAGAGCAAAAAGAAGCTGTCATCTATGTGCACAATGAACTATTATTCCAATATAAGAAAAGATAAAATCTGTTTGCTTCAACATGGATGGAACTAGAGGGTGTCATCTAAGAGAAATACATCAGAAGGAAATAGATAAACACCAGCTGATATCACTCATAAGTGGCACATAAACCAATGATGGGAAGAGATCATGTCAAATGGAAATAAAACCCAAAGCTCAGTATAACCTGAGTTTATACGAGGAGGATGGGGACTGGATCTCGGAGGGAGGGTTACTGGCACAGGAACTGTGTGGCAGGGCTATAGGAACTTGGATGGCGGAGATGATGTATTACCATTGTACCCCTAAAACATTTACACACTTGCAAAGTAGTTTCATTTCAATAAACTTTTGTTTAAAAATCAATAGTCTCCTGACCTATATGCCAAAAATATTCCTTTCTCAATGCAGGTGTGGGATTCATTTGTCAGGTCTTGGGCAATATCATTTTCATTAACTTGAACTATTCCAAGAAAATGTTCTGCTGTACTCAGGGAAATGTGCATATTTATGCTATCAAATGATCTTGCAAGTACACAGTGAGAACCTCTTCTGAAGAAGGTAATAGAATCTTCTGCTAATAACACCGACTTCTCCCTGAACACTTCCAGAACTCTACCAACTGCTTTTAAGATTGGCAATATTTTCTCTTCCATAGAATTTTCCATTAGCATACCAAAGAATTTTAGGGTGCTAAGGACTGGACCTGTGGCCTCATTCATGCAAAACATATTCCCTACCACTAGGCCCTTAAAATGAACTTAGCCTAAACAAACCTTCCCTAATATAAATTCCTCTTAATGAAAAATATTTTGTTTTCTACCATTAATCTAAAAGTTGCCAGTGACCTCCATCTAGTTTTCCAAATCCAATAGCCCTTTTTGATATTCCCTTATTTGAATTTTCTGTTACTGACCTAATTAACCACTGCTTAATTCAAGAAACCCTCTCTGGATTATCATCCTATATACCTAAACTGCTTTTTAGCTCTCCACTTGTTCCTTATCTGTTCAACAATACATCAATTATCATTCTGTCACTGAAAACAAATCTATTTCTATGCAATTACTTTACCTTAAATCTTTACACAATCTGGTGCCTACTTGCTTTTTCAATATAAATTCACACCCAGTTCTTGCCCTTGAACACTACAGGTCAGCCAAAACTGTCTACTCTCTCTAACAAATGTGTCAAAGTGTTTGCTCTGTCTGAATTGCTCTTTCTCCAGACCTCTTAAGTAAGTTCTCCTCTGTATCCCATTCTTAGCTTCTGTCATCTGTCCAGAGAGGCTTTCTGAATGTGCTATCTAAATCTGCTCCCAACTTAACTCCCTTTTAATCTGCCTTTTTAACATAAAAATTTCAATAGTGGAACTAGAGAGATAGTACAGCATGGAAAACGCTGTATCATGATCCCCTGGGCCCTGGTGTACAAGCAGGAGTAAGCCCTGAGCACAGTCAAGTGTGGCCCTCAAACAAAAAAATTTCACTGCTCATTATTTTCTTAGGTATGAGTTTATACATTTGTGGTTTATATCTAGCGAACTGGAATATAAGATCTTCTAGCACTGAGGTTGCCTTCGTCATCTCATTACATAGTTGAAGCAACTAGGGACCAAGAAACTTTGGTTCAATGAATGGTGCCATCCAGGGAATGAGACAATTGCATAGATGAGATTGGCCTTTCCTGACCAGCACGTAATTGCTCTGCACAGCAATTACAATCTAATAGGGAGGATTAGCTTTTTCAAGTATAACTACAAATACACTAACAAGCACATATCATCACAAAATGGCACTTTCAGTCTTTTCAAAATTATAGAGTTCAATTTCTTTGAAATGATAAGTAGGGGTAAACAGAGAAATAGTGGCGACACTGACATTCTGCCCAAGAGGGCCAATTCCCCCAGACCTGGACAGTACCACGATAATTAGTGATGAGAAATCTTGATTGGGGACACCAAGCTCTCATATAGTCTGCTTCTTGAAATATTTTATTAAGTAATCCAAGAATGGACAAACACATGGGAACAAATCCTTTCTAGAAATAAAGTCTGCTAACTTTCTGGAACAGCTTCTCTGCCAACTTGTAAGACAATGTTTGGTGCCTTAGCAGACTGGCTCTTAGATATTCAAACTCTAAGGCAAGTGTATGAGAACTTGCTTTAATAAACTACACCACACACTAAAATGCAGAGACAATTTTTTAGTCTGAAGATTTTTATTTTTTTTTATTTCAACATTTCACAGCACTTTAAAACTCACTTACTCTTACTTCCTCTCTCTAGGTTTTCACGCTACATTTTCAAGTGAAGCAATTTAGAAGAAAATGACTGTGCATCTATTTTGTGTGTGGAGTTGAGATTCGGCCTATCATGCCTTTGACTTTCCAGAGCTAACACCGGTTAATAAAACTTTCTGCCATGAGACTGAAAATGGAAACATTAACATTCAAAGCTGTCCTTGAAGGTAATTTTAACCCTGTAGTTTTTGAGTTACAAAAGCCAGGACTGGGAATATTTCAAATATGGCAGTCAGGAATTTTAAAATGATTAAAATAGTATTTTGGTGGCTAATGTAAAACTAGTTTCTTTAGACTTGCGTCTTCCTAATGACTCAAATGTAATTACAGATGTTAGAAGTAATTAGGAAATATTGCCGTACCACTCACATATTTACATGTAATTTGAATTTTTCTCCTTTAGCATGTTTCAGTAAAGGAGCTTAAGGAAATCAATATTTGATCCATGAAATGCTTATTCTCAGACTCAAATTGATTCACTGCAAAGCATATATGTTCAAGTGGACTATTTTTTTCATCAGTAGTTAGACTTCTGATTTTTTTGCTTAGAAATTGGATAGTATATTCTTGCCATAAGGCTTAAGGGTTTAACATTTTATGCTTTTGCAGAAGAGTTGACACAGAGAACTACTGAAACTAGCTGTGAGGTAATCATTTTAAAATCAAATACAAAATCTATCTGAACTTTAGGTGAGCAAAGAAAAATAAAGGACCATGAGGAAGAATATCCACAGGGACTAAGAATCTTGAACAGTATGTAGTACTGAGGGCATCTTTCCTGAACTTCATTTAAGTTATTTCTAGCACCTCTTTTTCTCTTCTATAACATTTCAATTTATATATCTTCTTTTATTCCTAATTAGGATTTAAAACATACAAGGTCACATTGGCATTTCTGAGTGTTCTGAAAACCTGAAAGACACAAACTTATCACAAGTTTTATTTCTACTTCCACATTTTCCAGAACTCCACTCCAAAAATGCCCCAAAATAAGTATTCATGAATATCACAGTATAAACTAACATTAAAAGCCAAAAGCAAATAAATAACCAGAGTCTAGATTTAATGTATTTGCATTTTTTATATTTGTTCTGGTGTGGGGGCCACACCCAGTAGTGCTCAGAGCTTACTCCTGGTGTCTGCACTCAGGTATAAATCTTTGTGGTGCTCAGAAACTATATAAGATGCTGGGGAACAAATCTGGGTCAGCTGCCTGAAATGCAAGTGCCCTACACACTGCACTATCTCTCCAGCCCTAAAGTTTTGATTTTTTTTTTTTTGCTTTTTGGGTCACACCCAGCGATGCTCAGGGTTTACTCCTGGCTATGCACTCAAGAATTACTCCTGGTGGTGCTTGAGGGACCACATGGGATGCCAGGGATTGAACCTGGGTTAGTTGCATGCAAGGCAAACACCCTACCTGTTGTACTACCTCTCTGCCCCCCCCCCAAATTTGTATTTTTTAGATGAAGCAAGATGGTCATGTGGTTTAAACTTTCAACTGGGGCCTCAATTTCAACTTCAGACATGG